GTTTGGCTATCCCCCCTGGGGGGTGATTTCTCACTTTCTGTCTCTCTGTCTCTCTCTGTCTGTCTGGCGAGCGCACACACCCAATAGCAAAAAACTCTCAAAAAAATAAATAAATAAATAAAAATTAAAAAAAAAAAGAAACAGTCTTAAATCTGGGGAGCTGTGTAGTGGTATAGTTTCAGTGTTGGAGGATGAAAAAGTTCTAAAGATTGGTTGCATGACAGTGTGAATGTCCTTAACGCTATTGAATTGTACACTTTTTAATAGTCAAGATGGTAAAAACACATCAAAGTAAAAAAAGTTCAGTTCTATACAATTAAATGCATTTTACACAAATAACTCAATCAATAATAAATGATGCACTTAAAATTTATTAAGAGGATAGCCCTTGTATTGATATCACAATTAAAGTTAAAAAAAAAAACCCTCAAAATTTCTAAAAAAAAAAAAAAAAGGCATTTATTTATCCCATATGAAACTACAAAACTGGGGCCATATGGTAGTGCAGGGGTAGAATGATGGCCAATGAGGCTGTCCCACCTGGGAAGGTTCTGGATGCACATGGGAGACCTCCCCGAGTATTCTGGGCACACATGTGTCTGTCACCCACAGCTGGCTAAAGCTTGGGATAGATTACAGTGTCCAGAGTCCGATAAGGGTGCTCTCTGTTTCTCTTGGGGAAGGAAAGGAAAAAAGGAAGAGAGGGAAGGAGGGCGGGGAACAGGGGAACCGTAACTGCAAATCCTCTCGTACATATTAGTCAATGAGCAGTACTGAGGCCCTGTTTGACTCGGCTGATCCCAATATTACCCTCTGTTACAGACTGACATTAAGCTTCCAAGAGATTTCGTTGACAGCTTACAAAACAGGATCAAGAAATCATGACCCATAAACAGAAGGTTATTGCTCCTATTTCTCAGCTACTTAAAATATTCTTAGGAGTCACAGTAAGAGAGCCCTGCTACAACAGTAATGACAGAGGCTAGACCTCACAGTGGCCTTACGCAAAGAGGTGTGTCACTAGGTAAGACAAGAAATCCATTTGACCTATAATACGACCAAAGATACAGTATGAAAAGATTTTCAGTATTGATTTTTCTCATGGCTGTTTGGACCAAATGCCATAAGACTAAATTCCAGTCCAATAAATGGGTTATCCTAACAGAAGTACAAGCAATTCTCAGAAATTACCACCATGTTTCTGAAAAGAAAAACACAAAGCAGACACATTTTTCTATTCATAAAAATAATACTACATCTTGAGGATTGCTGTCCTAAGATCTCAGAATCAATTAAATCATGCCTATAACCAACAATGTTAAAACCCAAAATAATTATAAAACAATAGGAAAATTTCATTTTCAGAACTAAAAAAATGGGCAGATACACTAAATAAGCATGAGGATTTTCAAACGCCTGAGCTGCTTATGAAGTACACACTGCAGAGCTCATCCTCTGAGTTGTCAACAGTTCTACATAATTAATTACTAAGTAAGTAATATATTACTTACATAACTAGGTAATAAGTTCATGATTTTGTTTGTACTCTTAGGATTTGTAAGGATTTAAGGAGGAATTATTCGGATAGCCCTGGACAATTCTGAAAAGCTCAGACATGGATGTGTAAACTGATTCCTTATTTTCTTTCCAATAATCTTTAATACCAATAGAGGCATCATTAATCGTCTACTTCACTGACCTTAGAGCTAAACTCTTCGAAAGCTGCCTACTGTTACACTGGGCTCCTCCTAAATCACACCTTTCAAAGTCACACAGGTGGACCAAGAAAGCGCAAAATCAAACATAACACGTTTGGGCAGGAGGTGGCATGGAGGTTAAGGCAACTGGATCCCACATAGCCAACTGTGTGTTTTCAAGTCCTGGACCCAATGGCTTGAAAAATCACACCAGGCATCTGTGTGTGTGTGTGTGTGTGTGTGTGTGTGTGTGTCCCAAATCCCAAGAGGAGAATGGTAGAGTAGGGACTACAGTGTAGTCATCCCCTCTGGCGGGTATTTCTCACTTTGTCTGAAAAGCAAGTACACACACCCTATAGCAAAACAAAACATGTTCTATGTAATAAACAGTGGCAAAAGATAGAAGTGTGAAAATGCTCATAGAACACTGGTTATTAACACGGTAGTCTGTCAAATGGCCCATCTAGGTCCCCATTAAATAACCATGCTCAGTCACTAAAACCCATCTCAACAGCTCATCCTGCTGTGTCTAGCGAATGCAGAAGGAAAGGTAAGGGGAAGAACGCTTAGGGCTCATCTTAGGGCCTCATGGCTAACATGGAAGGGCTCACCAAAAAACAGACTTTCTCCAAAGGTTCACTTAAGGGCAGTGAAATTTCCCACAACTTGGCCCTACGACTCTACACCTGAAACAAGAATTTCCTCTGCTCCCTTCAGGGATAAATGAGGGAAGAGAACTCTCCTTTGGGGATCAGACTGAAGCTCCTTTTACCCAAGATAGATGAATGGTAAGTGGTCCCATGGCTGAGTCCCTCACAGAGAGGGGGCATGGAGGGCAGGGTCCTACCTGCCCCAACACTCACCTGGTGGATAATGTAGATGCCATACTCCAGCTGCTGCCTCTGCAGGAAGGGGTGAAGATGCTCTAGCAGATACATCAGGTGTTTCTCTCTGTTGCGGAAGGGAATGAGGATGGCCACCCGCTGAGAAGCCTTACATTCCTCAGGGCGATATTGGCCTCTGTACACTTGGGGATTTTCTGCCTGTACTTCTTCCAAAGTGAGATCTGGTTTGAAAACCAGCTTGCTCTGGCCTCCTACAAAACACAGACACAGGTGGTAATGGGAGCGACCCCGAAGTGTTGAGAGGGTTCTTTGAGCTAACACATGGAAGTGTTTTGACCAGTGCCTGGCCAGTACTACAAGAGTGCGCTTTCACTACTGCATTCAAGTAAGGAAGTATCTTGGACTGAGTCAATATACTGTGTATTCTGGATGGGAAATCTCATCTTGTAGGCTGTAATGACATACAGTGAACGAATGTAAAATAACTCATTTAAAAAAAAGTGTCATTTAGAGACAGGATCAGGTGACTAAGGTTACCGGCTGCAAAAGCAAGTCACTGATCTACAAGAGCATTTCCTGTGGCTGCGTCATCAACTCTGGATGCATGATCCAGCTGGAAGTAGGAAACGTAAGTAACCCTTCAAGTTTGCCCTCTCCTCCTGTAGGAGAGGGAGATCTCTTAAAAATAAAGAGCGTTCCACGGAATTGAGTTCCTGAACAAGGCCCTTTCCCACTCCTTCCTGTAACTCAGAGCCTTCCTAGCTCATGGAGGTAAAGCACAGGAAAGCAGAAGCCAGCCCCACCCCTCGCCCAGCAGGAACAGGTATGTGCGGCACCACAATTCTCCCATTGTGTCACCATGGCAGAAGTTTCCAATTGAGCACAGCACTCGTTAAGTGATATGGAAACAGCCTGAGTGGATGAAACCCAGGGCCAACCGTGATATTCAATCTGCCGCACGGCTTCACATATCAGCCCCTCTGCCCTGTCAGAGAAGAGGCAGATGCTGGCTAAGGAACTTACGCATGCATGTTTTGACTTCACTCCACATACGCTGGTCAGGCTGCAAACGCTCAAAATACCTGCTTGTGCCATCCCCTCCTGAGCACAGCAGTCACAGGCCCTTCCTATGCTTAAGTGCCGGCTCCATGCCACCACCCTACCCAGCCTGGCTGCTTAGACCAAGCTCATGTGGCCAGTAGTACCAAGGGGAAGCCACAGCCTCAAGCCACCCAGAGAAAATAACTGACCTACAAGACCCTTCTTGAAGGGTCTGCACACGAGACAAACAACCATCAGTAATACCCTGAAAATGAACAGTGAGAAATGGAGTCACATAGAAGGCATGATACCAGAGCCACTTCTGGACCCCCACCCTGCTGGGAGACAATGGGGTGGCTGTTGAGATGGTTTCCTGTGTGGTCTGTTATTAAACCCCATCATTAACCTGCCCATGCCTCTGTTCCTCCAGCTGGAAAGAGTCTCATGAGCAGGTCTGACATGAACTCGTTCTCTTGCTCAGTTTCTCACTGTCGTAGCTGTTTAAGGGCCCTAACCTTCCAGCACCTGCTTCTACTAATTCTCTCAGTCTCTACCACCACCACCACCCACCCCCAACACTTTAAGTTCTGTTTTTCCTCGGGTCACTCACTACTCGTACCAGCCTCTGAATTGAGCACTTGCTCACTGTGCCAGAGTCTATGTAGTCTTTTTTCTATTTTATAATTTCTTATTTATGTGTAATTATATCTTTATGGGACATGACATGGATTCTCAAAGCATGTATGCATACAGTGTATGACAATCAGATCAAGGATAATACCCTATTCATCATTTTCAACCAAGAACACCACATTTGAAAGATAGGCGTGTAAGATTGGCAACGTTTGTTTTTTTTTTTTTTCCCCACTCATCTGCAGTATGCTGGTCCACCATCCATCTGCCATCTATTCTTTATCAGTAAATCTATTGCTTAAATATGGTGTAAGGATTTTGAACAAGGTGACTAACACAGTCTGGTTTGCATTTTAATAACCCATATTCATATCTCAACTTGAATCATTTCTGCTAGAACACACACTCAGGAATAACATTTTGGCTTTTCCCTGACCAGATAAAGAGAAAGAGCATGCCGGCCTGCCTGGAGCACGAGCCTGTGACTGAGTGTATGACAATCAGATCAAGGATAATACCCTATTCATCATTTTCAACCAAGAACACCACATTTGAAAGGTAGGCGAGTATGGTTGGCATTGTTTTTTTTTTTTTTCCCCACTCATCTGCAGTATGCTGGTCCACCATCCATCTGCCATCTATTCTTTATCAGTAAATCTATTGCTTAAATATGGTGTAAGGATTTTGAACAAGGTGACTAACACAGTCTGGTTTGCATTTTAATAACCCATATTCATATCTCAACTTGAATCATTTCTGCTAGAACACACACTCAGGAATAACATTTTGGCTTTTCCCTGACCAGATAAAGAGAAAGAGCATGCCGGCCTGCCTGGAGCACGAGCCTGTGACTGAGTTAGGAGAGAAGGTGCGTGGACTGGAAGTTTGTGTCCCCCTGACATTCACGCTGAAGCCCTAATTCCCAACGTGGTCGTACTGGTGGAGCCTTCAAGAGCTAATTAGGTGCAGAAGAGATCATGAGAGTGAATCCGCCACGACAGAATAACCTTATAAAAAGAGCAGGGGATATCTTCCTCCGTATCTGTGTGCGCTGGTGTGTGAGCGGGCGTGCACACACGTGCCAGTCAGTTCATGGTATTCTGTAACAGCAGAGTAAGATGGTGTCTGCAGTTGCCTGGTTAGCTAAGAGCAATCTCCGAAAAGCCCAAGGCCAGTTCTCAGCTCTTGGAATAAAGGCAAGGAGCCACCTCTGCAGGTCAGGAGGGTGCTGGGCTTTGCCCACCTAGAAAGGGTCACCCTGTCTACATCCTGTCTGCTCACTGCCTCTGGTGGGAGACAGGCAAACATATGGACAGCACGCTATGATCAGCACAACAGGAATATTGGTATTCCTACAGGCACAGAAAAGTATAAAACTGGGGCCAGTTAACCATGGCATCATGGTTACATCGCTGGACTCCCAAGTAGTTGAACACAGTTCTAGTCTTAAACCTGGCAGCTTAAACCTCACACAGGGCATGTGTACATGCATGCCCAAGATCCTGAGAAACTGAGTGTGGCCATCTCCCCTGGGGGGGTGATTTTTCGCTATCTCTCTGGTGAGCACATGTGCCCTATAACAAAAATCTCTCTCTCAAAAAAAAAAAAAAAAAAGGCGCATAAAACTAAATCTGACTGGGGCAGTCTGAGAAACCTTTCTGAAAAGAAGACATCTAAGCTGAATTTCTGACAACGAGGTAAAAGTCCATCAGGCAGACATGGGTTAAGGAAAGGCATTCTGGGAAGGGGAAATAATACAGACATCTGAATGTTCTGACAACTCACGACGTGAGAAAAGACGTTGATTAGTGAACACAAGGGTCTGTGCACTAAAGCCAAATGACCATTTACGTTGAAAGGCAAGACATCAAAGAGAAATCAAAACATAAAAAATATTTAAGAAATGAATGCTAAAGACAACACTGAAAAAGTTAAGCTTTGGTCCTTGACCCCACACTTATGGCCAAGGCAGTGCTCTTAGACGTGCCACAGCTGGAGGCCTGAACGTGCGAGCATGTCCCCACTTGTGCTCTGGAGCTCTGCCCATATCATGAGAACATGCCCAGGATAGCCCACTGGCCCCAGGAGAAGGATGAGACCCACAGAGCAGAGCTAGAGGGAGCCTGTTATGCTGCTGAGAATTTGTGGCTAAAAAGTAAAACTGCTAATGTTCATATTATACATTACGATATATATACATCAAGGATAATGAACAAACTACCATCTCACTCAACCAGTGACCAGATCTCACAAAGATAATGTTAAGCAACAGAAACCAAACACAACTGATACATAATATATGCTTCCGCTCTGTAAAGCTTAAAACCAGGAAAAAAGTCTTAGATTTTTCTAATAGTGTTAGAATATTTAAGCGAGGCCATTGAGTGGAAGCAGCATGGAAACTTCCAAGATTCTCTACAACTCCATTCCTTAATTTATATGTTGGTTACACGGGTGTGTTGATTTGCAAAACTTAACCATGCTGTTTTTTATGTTACATTTAAATGAAAAGTTTACGTAGTACTTAGTAAAGAACGAAGAAAACACTTACTGAGATATGGAGACACAGGAGGACAGTCGGCAAGTTCTGCTTTTTTCATGGACGATTCATGAGTCAGAGTTTTGTCCTTCCCCAAAGCTATGACCTTGTTGAGATTAGCCATGAAATCCTTGGCTTTCGGGATCTCTTGAATAGCACCCACAAAGTAGTTACTGGTGGCCCACCCAACCACCGTCAGGCACAAGGTAAAAAGTAACAGCAATCGGAATTTGTAGGAGAGGTGAAAAGTCAGGTTGAAACCCATGTCTGTTGGTATGTAACCCCTATCCCTCTACCTCCCTGCAGGTGAGGAAGCTTCACGTTAGATCTTTCCACTCTGATGGCAAACGTGACGGCAGCCGAAGATGCAATGCCCACTTTTGCTTGGTAGTTCTACTCCAAAGATCACTAAAAAAAATCAGAAAAAAACATGCTGCTTCAATAGAAATCCTATCTTGAAATGATTCACCACAAACTGAAATCCTCCCCCCTTCAGACCTTGACAAATAGTAATGGTAGTTCTCCACTTAGGGTTTAGAGATGGGGAAATGGGGACTTTGGAGGGAGGCAGTTCCAACTATCTCTATGTCACAGAAGCTCTCTGGAGTGTCGTCTAGGCTGTCACCCTAAAAGAAAGTCATTTCCAGATGCTACACAGAAGGAAAGCCCTAATGGTTCTTTTCCTCAGGTGCCCCTTCCTGAAACAGCTTTAAGAGAAAGTTAACAAAATATCAAACGTGGTCATGGAAGTATATTTTGGCCCTAAGAGAAAATAAAGAAAACAACAAAAACTCTGTTCTTCTGTGACAGCGAGAAAAACATGATCCTTGGGCTGGAGCCACTGTTGAGAAGCCAGATTTCACATGGCGACTACGGTTCGAATTCCTGATCTAGTCACTGGTGGACGCTGGGCACCTGCAGCAGTGCCCGGATCTTACAGGGATGCAGGACGGGGAGGGTGGTGTGACCAGGACTTGTGGAGGGTGCTCTTCTCTCTCTTCTCTATCTCTCTCATGTGTGGGCACATTCTCTATCAAGAATAAAGGAGCTGGACTCCTACGTAGTCAACCTCGGTTTGAGTCCTAGAGTAGAAAAGACTGCGGCATGGCCATCCCTCCTGGGGGGTGATTTCTCACTTTCTGTCTCTCGTTGTCTCTGGCAAGCACACGTACTCTATAGCAAAAATTTCTTTAAAAAAAAAAATTAAAAGAAAAACAAATCTTAAAAATTAAAAACGAAAACATGGTCCTTGACAGCAGGAACTAAATGTTACATTCTTTTTTTTTTCCTTTTTTGGAGAAGTTTTTGCTATAGGGTGCGTGTGCTTACCAGAAAGAGAGAGAGAGACAGAGAGACAGAAAGCAAGAAATCACCCCCCCCAGGGGGGATTGGATACGGTGCAATCCCTTCTCCTCCATTCTCCTCTCGGGATCTTGAGCACGCATGCACACATGCCCGGTGTGAGTTTAAGTCACCGGGTCTGGGACTCGAACCACGGTCAACTACATGGGATTCCAGCGACATAGCCATTACACTAACTGTTGGTCCCTAAATGTTACATTCTCATGAGGCATGGGCACAGGGCACATCCCACCAGTGAGGGGCTGGGGTGGTAGTGAGAGCAAGAAACACAAGAGAACCCAACACAGGAGCTCAAAAAGCTACAAGAATGGGTCAAAGGACAGCACAGGGTTTAAGATCAGGGGTTTGGACTCTGACAGAAACTATAGCTCCAACACGTATCAGCCATGCAACCTCAGGCCAGTCACTTACCTGACCCTCAGTTTCCTTTTCTGTAAGATGGGATAAAATTAGTGCCTGCCCAGAGAGGGTATCGTGGACTGGATGACCTGCTGCATGAATGCAGGAAGTGTCTGCCCGCCTCCATGCACAGTGCACACGGGAAATGCGGACCATCACTGTGACTGCTGTACCAGCTCACACTGAGCAGGCCCGGCCCGCAGATGGCCTGTGCGACACATCACTGCATCGGCCGTATTCCCCTGCCGGGTGGTAAATCCCGACGCTGGTTTCATGCTTCAATCATGGGAGGTGGGATAATATGAATGAATCTCCAAGAAGTTGCTGTATTCTGAGTTGTTGACAGAAGTCCAATGTGTGAAGCCACTTGGCTGAGACCCAGCCCAGACCATGGTAAGGCACTAAGGTGGTGAAGGGTACTTGGAGGAGTCCTGGAGCAACACCTCCTACCCTCTCTGCATCACCCACGCCACCTTTCTCCAGATTCTAAGCCTGTTATCAGAGAGTGCTGAAAATGCTAAAGCCAGGGCATGGATAATGGCCTATGTCAAATATAACCTCAGTTAAATGGCTAAAGTGAGACTGAAATCATTTCTATGCTAAGTAACAATATGCAAACACTTAAATCTTAAGTCACAAAAAGGAAAACAGAAAGTAAACTCTGTGGGGCCAGCTAGTGTTGTGGTGGTGAGGGTGGCTGGATACCCCATGGCCAACAGTGCAGTTGGCGTTCCGAACCCAGAGGCTTGAAAGACATGCCAGGTGCATTTGTGTGCATGTGCGCCCAAAACCCTAAGAGGAGAATGGAGTCGGGACTGGGGTATTGCCATCCTCCATTGAGGGCTGCCTTTTTGCTTTCACTGTTTCTTTAGGGAGCACATGCATGCTACAGAAAATTTTTAAAAAGAAAGTAAACTCTCTATATATGAGCTATAACTACAACAAAGCTATAGAAATAAAAAGCTAGAAAGAAATATACTCAAAAGCTAACATACTTATATTAGAAGTATGGGACTACCTGGGGGTTGTTTCTTATTGTATTTAATATCACAGTTTATATATTTTATGTTTGTATTATTTTATAGTTTTATATTTCTACATATTTTACATATATTTATTTTCAGAGAGAGATTTTTGCTAAAGTGTGTGTGTGCTCACCAGAGAGATAGAGACAGACAGAAAGTGAGATATCACCCCCCCCCCAGCGGTGATACCCACACTGCAGTCCTCCATTATCCTCCCTTGCTTTTCAGAATTTGGGGCGTGAGTTTTAAGCCGCAAGGTTGGGGACTCAAACTGTGATCAACTATGGGGAGTCCAGCAACACAGCCTTACACCACCTGCTGGTCCCCATATACTACTTTTACAATGCAAACAAAATTGTTGCCCAGAGTATATGGAGAACTTGGGATGCAAATCCAGGACCTTCCCATGGGACCTCGGCATCCTCTGCACCACTGGCCTAATCCCTTTTTCAGACTACAAATAATCACTTACTCCCTCTCCTAAGCCTAAAAGCCTTCCCCGGAACTGACTGTACAGACAGCCAGCATGGAGGAAAGGGTGGTTCCCTTGGTTCCTGTAAGGTGTGAGGAATTAGTAACACCGTACTATCAAGAAAGACCTGCTTATCAGCTAAGTGACTTCCCAGCATATTTCCCCAGCTATAGAATAATAAAAAAAAAAAACCACACACTTATCTCACAACACTACTGTAAGAATTTACTGAGGCGGACCAAAACACACCTGGTACACTCCCAGGAACACACGTATTTAGCAACTTGGTTATAAATGCGATTCACATTACCCAAGAAAATGTTAATTTTGAGATCACATGCTGAAATACAGCTTGTGATTTTTATTTTCTATTTCTCTGTAATTTTCTATTTTTCTTTTCAATGAATACATGTTACTTTTATAATTAGAAAAGGATAATGATTTTTTTTTTTGAAAGAAAGTGATTTTAGAGACAGGTAACTCCTGGTTATCTGAGAAAGTGATGAATTGAGAGACCACGTTCTCTTCCATGGTCCCAGAATTACTTTTCTTTTTTAATCAAAGCTGCCTTGAAGTGACAAGAGAAGACAGTCATTATTGACTGTACAGACTAAATGCAGGCAACTTAAAAGAAGTTATTTTAGGTCAAGACTCACCATACTTTTCCTTTCTAGAAGTCTGTCCTAGAGTTAGTTCAAATGATTGTTTTCATATTTTTGTTTTTCCTCCTCTCAATTCAACCAGTCTTTTCTGACACCTGCTATTTTACTTCTTTTTAAATAATTACTTTTTTATTTGTTCGTCCATTTTATTTTAATTTGACCAGAGAGAGACACACACATAGAAAGAGAGAGAAAGAGAGGGAAAGTTAGAAAGCAAGCCACCAGGTCCAGGACGTGAACCATGGTTAGCCATGTGGGAGTGTCTAGCGCCTTAACCACCACGCCACCTGCTGGTGCTATGCACCTGCTATTTTCAAACAGAGTGCTGGGCTCCAAAGAGAATTAAAGCCTAGTCCTCACCCTTACTGTTCATTTCAGTCCCTTCCTAGATCCTCATGTCTGTGATTTGTTTTCAAATACCAGCTACCTCCCACTCTAAAGTGGGGGACTAGATGAAAGGAGACTGGCAAGATACCGAGAAGCACTGAAGATAAGAGATAGGTAAATATGATCTACTTTCTTTCTCTCTAGGTTTGTTCTTGGAATTTTCCATAATAATAAAACAACCTGACAAGGAAGAGGAGTTATAACTGAAATGTAAAACAGTGTGAATGTTCAGTATCATGCTGGGAGAATCTCTTCCCACACACATTTTTGCACCACTGTGAAGGGTGGGGAATACTCATGGTGTCACTCCACAAATATTTACTAAGCATTTATGCACGAAGGACAAAGGGTGTGGCCACCATCCAGCAACCTTGAGCCTCAAAGCTCTATTCCAACCCAGCATCTCCAAAAGCAACTCCGCAGGTGCAGGGTGTCTGAGCAGCCTCGAAGTGATCCCAGGCATGTGGTCCTTCTCCCTTGGCACTTCGTGGAACAGCACCAGGAAAAGGGCTGATCTTTTGCTATTCCTGCAGTGTTCTGGGAACTGATTATTTGCGTATATCCTGTCCTAACTTCCGTAGGCCTCAGGTATTCAGTCTCCAAATTATAGTTCCTATTAAGAGGCTTCTGGGTGGGACCAGCAGTTAGCACTATGTCACTGGACTCCCATGTAGTCGACCGCGGTTCGCGTCCCGGACCCGGTGGCTTAAAACTCATGCCGGGCGCATGTGTGTGTGCATGCCCAAGATCCCAAGAGGAGAAAGGAGGAGAAGGGATTGCGGCGTGGCCATCCCCCTGGGGGGGGGGGGGATTTCTCGCTGTCTTTCTGTCTCTCTTTGTCTTTCTGGCGAGCGCAGGCACCCTATAGCGAAAACCTCTCCAAAAAAAAAAAAAAGAGGCTTCTGGGTGATCACTGCCCAGATTCCGAAGGAACAAAGGTTCCCTGGGAGGAGGCAGGGTTGGGATTAAACTGAAGAAAGTTGGGATTAAACTGAAGAAAGTTGTTTATATTTACAAGTCATTTAACTCAAAGACTGAGCTCTCCTGTGGCCCAAACTGGAAGCATTTGAGCAAACAAAATTACTATCAATGGCACTGTAT